GCAGTGAGGTAGGAATTGGTTGTAACTGGAGACCGGGAGGAAACAAAATAGCCCAGGATACTGAGTACTGAGCCTAATCCTGATTTTGACTGGCTGTCAACTATCACTTGAGATTATCAAGTGAAATCTGCAAACCGGCCAGGCGGTCCAGTATTATAAGCAAGGATTTCGCTCTAAACCCCAGTGCAGTCCTTTGGCGCGAGGTCTAACTTTTCCCTTTTATTTTTAAGAGGTTGAAGTTTGCTATACAAAACTCTACTTTTTATGTAATCAAATGTATCAATCTTTTCCTTAATGACTTCTGGATTTTGTGTTATATTTTTAAAAGTCTTGCCCATTCTAGGATTATAAAAATATGCATCCATGTGTTCTTCTAGGATGTCTGTGATTTCATGTTTTACATGTAAATTTTTGATCCATCTGGAACTTATTTTGGTATAGGAAGTGAGATAAGAATCCAGTTTTACTTGTCTCCCCACCCCCCCACACCGCAAATGGCAAATCAGTAAATCTAATTACCATTTGTTGAATAATCTACCTTTTATAGGAGTCCTTTAAATAGAAACTTTTCCGTGTATATTTTAAATATGATTCAAGGTACACAGGTTTCTGCATATGCGTTGATAAAAACTCTATTTAAAACATGAGGTGAGAAATCGCTGTGTGGACAGTTGTTTAGAACCCTCCCCCGGGTCTGTTTCATACAAAAATGGAGACAACTGAATCTACCTTGCGGTGTTCTTGTGAAGATTTTTAAAAAGTAAAGTGTGCAGATGTGTCTACCTCGATAAATGTGAGCTTCTTTCAGTTCGTTTTTCTGTGATAAAGCAACATGGGCCCTCGGAATAAAGATCCAATTTGGGCGTAAGACTTAGTTTCTCTATTTACTTCCTGAGCGTATAGAGATGGCAAAGGGCATCATAGCTTTTTAAACAGTGACACATAATTGTTCTCCTCTCTCCTTTTCAGATCCACAAATGTTTCTATACAAGGCATGGTGTGAGGGACAAGTGGCATTATACAAATCTGAATTCCAGTTCTGCCACACATTAAATATGTGGCCATTCTTGAGGAGAGAGTAATCTCATACGTCATAGGGTCTTGATAGGATTAAGTAAGAACCCCTGTGGAACGCAAGCTCCAGAAGAACAAGACCCTGGCCTTACTAATCACAATTTCCCCAGTGCTAGCATCCTGCCTGGTGTGCAGTTGCCATTTATTAGATAAGTAGCGAAGGAAGTAAGGAAGGAAGGCAAGGAGGAGTTAAAGCACTTTGCAAGGTGCCAAAGTAAGTGTTAGCTATAGGTAGAAGCCAGAGGTCCCAGAGATGTGGTCCTGCCTCCAGGGGTGAGGATCCAGATCGGACAGCTAAGCCGTACCGCGCTTACCTATGAAGCAGAATGAAACGCAGTAGAACACAGGCCCAAAGTGGTTCAGAGACAAGTGGAAAGTAATGAGTCCCAACTGGAGGATTAGGGAAACGCTTCGCGGAAGAGGGCTGTCTTTAAGCTGGACCTGAAATGAGAATAGTTTTGTTTTTTTTTTAAAGACAGTAGGTTTTCCAGTACAAAGTACAAAGTTAGGGGGCTATTCGGCCTACTCCAAGACTGGAGATTAGTACAAGTGATGACACTGTGACCCAAATAGAAGGAAGAGTGGCTGGAAGGTCAATTACATGGCCTGGAATGTCCCGCGATGGTGTTTTTGACAATGCACAAACTTGAAGGTTTTTGAGTTGTGGAGTCATGGGGACAGGCTCAGGTTACTATTACTGTTATGCATTAGTTATTTATTATTTGTAGTTATTGTTCAGAAACAAGTATGAAGGATGAATTAGAAGGAGTAAGCATTTAAAAGCTGTCGTAATGGCTCAGGGGAAGTCAGGAGAGTCTACTCTAAGATGCTGCAGGGGAAAAGGCCAGGAGGAAGGGCAGGGGGGCCTGTTGAGTCTCCCAGGCAGTTAGGCTGATGGTGATATTGCCTCCTGAGGCTGGGAATGCATGAGGACAGGCAAGATCGGGTTCATCTGGGAAGTGTTGAGCTTAAGGATGTTTTAATGAACGATCAGTTAGAAACAGGCCATTGATGCCCAGGAAAATGTCAGAGCAGGAGAAGCAGAGATGAGTCAGCATTTCTCCATCATTAATGAGATGATCAAGGATGCTTTTCTAAGATGTTTACAGTCAACTTAATATATGGAAATGGAAATATCTCAGATCAATGAGGAGAGATAAATTATTCAATAAATAGTGTCGGGGCAACTGGCTGGCTATTTGGTAAAAAAAAAAAATGTGGTGCCCCATCTCACACTGTATACAAAAATAAATGTCATATGAAATAAAAGTGGAATCAAAAATATAAAAACGTCAGAAAAATATTTAGGAAAGGCGTATGTATGTAAGTATATACATACATATATATGTATATATGTAGACATGTATGTAGACATAGATGTACGAAACGTATTTACATATAAATTTCTTTCCCTCTATGTACATTTATTGAAATCTGTGAGCCTAAAATGATACACACCTCCAATATCAATTTAATACCACAGTGTTCATTCTTATTTTCTCCCTTTCCTTATTTCTAAACCTTCTTATACAAAGTGAGAAACTTAGCTCCCACTATTTTTAATGTATTTCTTATATCGATTCAATCGACTCCCCTGTATATAGCCAGTTTCCTGTCGTTGCCACTGCCCCTTGCCCTGAATAGAACCCGCGCCACCCTCACCCACGTAGGCTCTGATACCCCACACCAGGCCGTGCATCTGAATAGATGACTACCTTGCTCTGCCCCATGCAACGGCTTTAGGACTGAACTGCTCAGAAAACAGCTGGGAAGAGGACAAGAAGGGCAGAGAAGACGACTCTGCTGTTCTCTGCTTACTGAGCGGGCATCAGTGGGGCCCGCCTGTGCAGTCGGAGTCCTCTAAGGTAGCTTAGGCACCACGGTATGACCTGGCACACCCTAGGCAATCCAACCTGGCCTTTGTGTGGTGTCATTGTTATTGTTTAGAATACATATCTAAGTGATCTTTTTTCAGTGGGACACTATCTTGAAGTGATGGGTTTAGTTATCAACGCGCTGCCCATGGGTCTAAAACAGAAAAATAAACACTCCAAGTTGCCCAAATCTACCTACCATTCCATTTAAATTTGATTCCATTCCATTCAACTACCATTCTTCAAACACTTTCTGTGCTTAATGGATTCTGGGAAAAATAAAGAAGTATTTCCCAGAGTGTCACTGACATCTAGGAGTTTACCATTTCACTAGGGAAATTAAAGAGACTTAAAGCAGATAAATAACACAGATCAAAAACAAACAGCTCGACCCGACGCTGGCGCGAGCGGGCTCCAGCTCTGTGATTCTCGTGGAGCCAAGTGGATGAAGACAGAATTTCTGCAAGCCTCGCTCATCTGGGGCTGGGAGCTGACAGCCTGGCAGGACAGGTTGAAGACTCACCCTTCGTAAAAGGGAGACTTCCTAAAAGGACGAGGGTTCTTTCCCGGGACGTTTTAACATAACCATTTCATCCCTAAACTGAATAAAAATTGCTCCTGTCCCACATTATGCAAAAACCCTCTAAAATCCTAACAGACCACTGCCCCATTCCCAAATAGAGCAAGGTCTATGATCCCGGGGTCTCTTCACCCACATTCTAAATGGGACCCTCTTCAGGAAAAATGGGCATGGGGACTCCGACAGCCTCCCCTTTCATTTTGCTACCTAAGTAATACAGATTCTTCTTTAGAAATTACGCACAGTCAACACAACAAACATTAGCCACAGTCTTTTGGAACAAATACCGGCATAAATTTATTTTATGCATTTGTATAACCTCAGGTAAGTTAGGGAATTAATTGCTGTACATCAGTTCCCTCACCTGTAAAATGAAGGTAATGATAATATTGTCTACCTCATAGAGCGACTGGGGCAACACATGAGTTACTATAGACCAAGTGCTTCAGATAGTAATGGTGCATAGTAAGATCTATAAACGTAATATTATCTATATCTATCTGGCATTTATCTGTCTAGATCCAGCTACGTGTTTTTATAAAGTGAGGGAAAAGCATTTATATTTCTTTGAGCCTTTAAAAAAATTTTTATTGATATAGCATGAACTTCTTCTCTTGTGTGACAATTTTAAAAGTGCAAAGAGACCATTAGATCCTTCGAGCGATTTTTCAAAAGTGAAAAGTGGAGTAGGGCATGGGCCTTGGTCCTCTGAGGGTATTAGTTCAAGGTGATGAGGTAGGTTAGGGCAAGGCCTGGATCTAATGCTTCTGGGGATGACAAGCTTGTGTGTATATATATAATCTCAGCCCAAGCACGGAGCACAACCTTGAGGCTCCTCTAGCACAGTAGTTTTCAAACTTGTATTGTTGTTTAAGTCGTAACATCATGTTTCGCCCAGCGAAATGTTATGCGGAGACTCTACCCAATAAATAAAACAATTTTAAAAACATCAGAGTAAATTTATTTTATAAGTTTAAATGTATAATGTTTGCATGTTATAATGCTTATTAATATAACCATTAAGGCCATTCGATTAAGAAAAACTAGAACTCCAAGGAGGTGGATGATAATCACATTCATGTCAACATCAGCTTCCATGAAATGGGATAAAACATTCGTGAACTCCTGCAGCCCCGCTGCCACAGAATGAAGCATTAGAACCAGCATTTCGACACCCTTATTTTACAGATGAGAAAATGAAGGCCCAGAGTGTTCTCTACTGCTTAGGCTTTTAATATTAAAAGTCCCAATAATAGAAATAATCTGATAACAGGATGGAAATAACATGTTATCAAAGATGGCACCCGGAATGGTAAATGTATCACCCACAAACTACAGTTCTTTCCAATTTAAATGATTGCCGGATCGTTCTCCAGTTAATAAAACGGGAAACGGTCAGCTGACTCCATCGCTGCCCTTCATTGTTTTGTGCTGTCCTCATCGCTTGCACGGCCTGAACGGTGCTGACTATGCATTTTATCCCATTAGCGGATGTAAAGACCTACCGATTACCTCTAATAATTAAATTATGCATTCCGACTTATGAATCAGCACCCTATTTTCAACATATCGGCTCTTCTTGTCCATTAAATATTCATCCCACCGTCTCCAGCTTCAATAGTTTTCTCATCATGAGGCCTGCCTGTAAAACTCAGGAAACCACTTCTGACGAACGATCTCCTTCATTAATTAAACAAAGCCAAAGCCTCACTGACAGAAAGATAAAAAGTCGATTCCATATTTCACCCTGCCACTTCCTCCTATACCCTGGACCTGTGACACACAATGCCTTAATGTAGTTAAAGTTATTCCACTCTGTTTATGAGGGCTGACAACCCCTGACCTCTGGGGTAGGGACAGTTCTGCAAAACTTTATGTATACTTTATTATTTTTTTTAAAGCTACCAAAAAAAAAGTCTGTGCAAATAATCCAAAGTGATGTTTTTAAATTACATTGTGAAATATATAATATATGCAAAAAAATGTATATAAAGTATTGCAGTAAAGCAAAGTCATATGTACTTCTAAAAATTAATGGTATCATAAAATCATGCTTGCTTATTGTAGATAGTTTGGAATATATTTTATAAGTATAAAAACATCTAATAACATAATTGAAAATCACCCACAAATAAACCTATCCTTTGTTGTTCTCTCTCTAGATATATATTTTTAATATATATGAAAATATGGCTATATATTTAAATATCTGTGTCCTTCATTTTTCACTCAATGGTATATCACAATTATTTTAAGTGATCATGATTTTTAAAGGCATCTTTATTTTTTCTCTTTTATGGAACACTGGCTTTCTCACAAGTGTTTTTTTATTATTATTATTATGAATAAGACTCTGATGAAGAACTTCAGGCATAAATATTTGTCCTCATCTCTAATTTTTTATTTCTGTGCATTAAGGTCATGTCTCTGAATCCAATGTTATGAATAGATTGATACTTCCTTAGAAAATATCAACTCTATTCTAGTCAGTATATAACGAGTCAGCTATTAAAGTTCCTGGAAAAATTGTTGTAGACTTATGTCAACAACGCAGGTGAATTCTGATTTCTACTCTTGGTTAAGGTTTACTAGCTTTGGTTCCTGTAAATCTTTTGGCTTCTAGAAGTTTTCTTTTGGGTAGAACTGTGTTCACGTGATGATAAATATGCAAATAAAACATACTGAGATTTGATGGATGTCACGATTAATGGGAAAACTTGGAGCCAGCAAAGAAGCGATGAGGAAGGGCAGAAGAGATAGGCAGGGGAAGGAAGGTAACATAGGGTTACGGAACTTGAAATAAGACAGAGAAAAATTGAGTGAGTAGTTGGAAAACAGTGCCAAAGGCAGCAGGAAGATCAAGATAAAGTGAGTCAGAGAGACATCATTAGATTTGGCCGGGAAGTGAGCATCATTTACTTTTGAGCAGTTTAAGTGGAGCAGAAATGAGGATAGAAGATGGGGGGCGGCGGCGGGGGTGGAGGGGG